TGCGTGGCCATCACTCAAGAGAGATAACGATAGAGATAAGAGATCAATCAAGCAGAATGGATGATCGCAAATTCACTCGTTGCAGACCATCCTCATCCACTGCGTTAGAGATAAGAGATCAATCAAGCAGAATGGATGATCGCAAATTCACTCGTTGCAGACCATCCTCATCCACTGCCTTAGAGATAAGAGAGATCAATCAAAGCAGAATGGATGATCGCAAATTCACTCGTTGCAGATCATCTTCATCCACTGCCTTAGAGATAAGAGAGATCAATCAAGCAGAATGGATGATCGCAAATTCACACTTCGTTTGCAGATCATCTTCATCCATCCACTGCGTTAGAATAAGAGAGATCAATCAAGCAGAATGGATGATCGCAAATTCACTCGTTGCAGACCATCCTCATCCACTGCGTTAGAGATAAGAGAAATTAAATCAAGCAGAATGATGATCTCAAAGCAGAATGGATGATTTGCAAATTCACTCGTTGCAGGTCATCTCATCCACTGCTTTAGAGATAAGAGAGATCAATCAAGCAGAATGGATGACCGCATATTCACTCGTTGCAGACCATCCTCATCCACACTGCCTTAGATAAGAGAGATCAATCAAGCAGAATGGATGATCGCAAATTCACTCGTTGCAGATCATCTTCATCCACTGCCTTAGGGAGAAGAGAGAAATCAAGCAGAATGGATGATCGCAAATTCACTCGTTGCAGACCATCTTCATCCACTGCCTTAGGGAGAAGAGAGATCAATCAAGCAGAATGGAATGATCGCAAATTCACTCGTTGCAGACCATCCTCATCCACTGCGTCAGAGATAAGAGAGATCATCAAGCAGAATGGATGATCGCAAATTCACTCGTTGCAGATCATCCTCATCCACTGCGTAAGAGATAAGAGAGATCAATCAAGCAGAATGGATGATCGCAAATTCACTCGTTGCAGGTCATCTTCATCCACTGCTTTAGAGATAAGAGAGATTAATCAAGCAGAATGGATGATCTCAAGCAGAATGGATGATTGCAAATTCACTCGTTGCAGATCATCTTCATCCACTGCGTGAAGCAACACGTCGGCACCGGCGGGGAGAGCGTGGTTTCCGATGGCCTCTACGCCGCGGAGATCGCTGGACGAAACCACGAAGCCTTCAATATCCTGACATCCACCGACGCCTATTTCTGGGACAAGGGGCAGGCCAACTACAGCTGGGAGATGCCCGAGTTCTATAAGATCTCGAGGCATCCCATTCTCACGTAAGTGGAGAGGGGTCGGTCGGGTTTTTTTCACTGTATGGTTTTTGAATATTGGGTTTTAAACGTGATTCTTTTTCTCTTTCTTTCTTTCTTTTTTTTTTTTTTTTCTTTTTCTTTTTTTTTTTCTTTTTCTTTTTCTTTTTCTTTTCTCCCTCTTTCTCTTCTCTCTTTCTTCTTTCCTCTCTCTCTCTCTCTCTCTCTCTCTCTATCTATCTATCTCTCTTCTTCTCTCTCTCTCTCTCTCTCTCTCTCTCTCTCTCTCTGTGTGTGTGTGTGTGTTTGTGTGTGTGTGTGCGTGTGTGTGTGTGTGTGTGTGTGTGTGTGTGTGTGTGTGGTGCGTGTGTATGTGTGTATGTGTGTGTGTGCGTGTGTATGCGCTGCTACACGAAGAATACGATACGTTATTTCATGAAAACACGAAATGCATTACTCCTTTTCTGTCTCAAGGTTGAACAGCAACAAGGAAGTCTGCCGCGTGTCCGTGAACAACGCCGTACGAGACTCCTACCTCGACCTCCCCGCCCACCGTGTCAAGGAATTCTACGCCGCCATGAAACTCTACAACGACATCTTGTACGACAATTCTCTCTCCTTCAAGATGGACACGGGTGAGCGTCACGAACTTTCTGTAGGTGTATTTTGTGGCGAAGGTCAATTTAAATGAAGGTGTGGCAATTTGGGTGATGTTTATTGGTTTAATTCTTACCTGTTCTGCAAGGTGTGACGGTTAAATGTGGTTTAATTCTTTGTACCTGTCTGCAAGGTTGTGGACTTACCTGTTCTGCATGTTGGGGTAAATGTTTATTGGTTTAATTCTTACCTGTTCTGCAAGGTGTGACGGTCGATTTAAATGTTTATTGGTTTAATTCTTACCTGTTCTGCAAGGTGTGACGGTCAATTTTATGTTTATTGGTTTAATTCTTACCTGTTCTGCAAGGTGTGACGGTCAATTTAAATGTTTATTGGTTTAATTCTTACCTGTTCTGCAAGGTGTGACGGTCAATTTAAATGTTTATTGGTTTAATTCTTACCTGTTCTGCAAGGTGTGACGGTCAATTTAAATGTTTATTGACTTAATTCTTACCTGTTCTGCAAGGTGTGACGGTCAATTTAAATGTTTATTGATTTAATGCTACTGTTCTGCAAGGTGTG